GTGTGTGTGTGTGTGTGTGTGTGTGTGTTTAAAACTTTGTCATATTTGATAAATCGAGTAATTTTATTAAGAATACCTGATTGCTTGCGACAGACGATGCGATTTTTCTCACTAGATTGTGCTTGCGATTTAGTAAATTTCTAAAAATTCTGTATTTTCTATGGTGTAAATCGTAGTAATTTACTAAATACGCAAGCAATTTAACAGAAAAAATTACTGTCTATTGCAAACTTGAGATGCTTCCAAACCTCTAAAGTGATTTCAAGAAAATTTCAAAACAATCTTGATAAAAAAAAATAGTTTTAAAAACATTATCGAAGCTGCGTAAAAAGATCTTTCTAACAAATACACTTTCATATTAATATGCTTCAAAAAGATTTCAAAAATTAACACCGAAACGATAACGAGAAAAATGTGGTTTTGTTTTTTCTTAAGAGGATGCTGGATTTAAGACCAAATTATTGACATTTATAAAAATCTCTGAATTAATTGACTGAATAGAACAAAAAATTCTTTTATAGGATTAAAGTAGACGCAAAATTAGGAGATGCTGCAGTGGACTTTATACTAAAATAAAAAAAAGTTAAGTAAATTTCTGACTTTTTTTTATTTTAGTAAAAAGTCCACTGCAGCACCTCCTAATTTTGCGTCTACTTTAATGCTTTAAAAGGATTTTTGATTCCGTTAGTCAATTAAGAGATTTTTATACAACTGTAATGTCAATAATTTGATCACTCCAGCATTACTTTAAACAAAATAATAACGTTAGTTATTATAGATTCACGCATTTCTACGAAGAAAATTGCTCTTAAACTTTTCGTCGTTACCTCGATAGAAACTTCTTAAATCTTATTTATAAAAGGAACTTCTTTTGAACTTTGAAACCATCACATCGAATATTAAAACTGACCAACTTGAATTATTTGCAAAATTCAGAAAGAGATTTGATTAATTTGACTTGATGCTAATCAAGTTGAAGAAAATTCGCTATCAGCGACGGAACAGTCGACAGGTGTTCTTAATGATATTATCAAGATCATCGCGCTCAGTTCGTATTCAGCGACGTTCTATCGCAGATGATAGATCCGTTCTAACATCTTTGTCACGATAGACGTCTAATTATTCGGTGGTCTCGGATTATTAGCGCCAATTGACGAGTCAAAACAGTCGATAAGGTGACCTTGCATAACCCACGAAGACACGTGTTTCTCAAAATTACAAACACTTGTATGCTTTGAAGCACAATTTACGTTATTCTGATGTCTCACGAGTGCTAAATTGTAAACAGCGCGTCTTTCAGCACGGAGCTCGTAATTTCGTTTATATCGATTCAAAGTGGAACTCGATCACTACAATATTGCAGACTTTTTTTCCGGTTATATTGCGGTTTTATCGTTGTCGAAATTCGAGAGAGTGTGCACGTAAAAATAAAAAAAAAGGTTTAAAAAACACAAAAGTGAAAACTGCAGCGATGTGCGACAATTGTGTTGTGACGATCGCGGATTGTAACGCTGCGCAAATATTCGAAAAGCAATCAAAAGCATAATATTGACTCTGAATACGATTTATAATTGCAATCTAATTTCAATTAAATTATAATTATAATCTTGCTTGGCAGCAAAGTTGTAATCATTAATGTTGTGAACCGATTGTTCGCAGTGCGTACGGAAACGTAAAAACGAGGAACGTTTATTTTATCAAATAATTTAAACGTATCCACGCTTTTCATCAGTACGAATCGCTTTTCATGCTTGCGTATACTGCCTTGGAATTCAGTTGGAAAAATTAAGAATGCATGAATGACACTCTTATCCCATCTGCTTCGTGTTAGTTTTTCTTTATAGTCTCGAAAGGATTTTGCAAGAAGAAGATTATATTGTCGCAAGTGAGTGACCCATTAACAATCAACAGAAAAAGATTTATCGAGAAGCCTGACGCGTTCTTTGTTTGCGTGCGCGATACCGAGTGATATCAGAATGTGCATACGGGCGAAGGTATTGTCATGATGAACCGAACTAGCGTGTGACATCCTCACGAAGGTTCCGAGCATGGGGACGTCGAGCCAGGACGGGGACATCGAAAACGACACGCTCGATTTCTGGCGGGACTGGGATCTAAGCGAGTTGACCGAGGCTGAGTACCTGAGCAAGGTGCTGGGACCCAAGTACCTGTCCCTCAGACTGGTAATACCACTCACGATCGCGTACGTGGTGATCTTCATTACCGGAATTTTCGGTAATCTCGCCACGTGCACGGTCATCGTCCGGAACTCATCCATGCAGACCGCCACCAATTACTATCTCTTCAGTCTGGCCATATCCGACCTCACTCTACTTTTATTAGGTAAACGAACAAAACAAACATCAAAATTGCTTTTCGATATTGTCTTTTTGTGCTTCAAGCGTTTTTTTTACAGGCTGATGTTTCTTACGGATTAGATACTAATTGTTTTTTCTTTTATACTTTTCTCTCACATTTATTATATTTATCCATCGGTGAGAACACAGTTAGACAATTTTTGTCAAATTTAACACGTTTCAGATGTTCAAAGGATTCATACAAATTTTCGTGTTTAACTTAAGATGAATATGAAAGTAACTAATATAATCTGTAAACACAAATATTTTTTCAGTCAAGTTAATATTAGTGAAGTGTTAAAAATTAATCTATATTTTATTTATTCATCTTAGAATTAACGTTTTAAAATACATGCTTATATTACTTGTTTACTTATTTATCAATTATTGTATTCTTTTGACACTAAAAGAAATATTGATCTCAAGTTATAAACAAGCTATTTAAATAACATAGTTATATTATGTTAAAAATTCAACTCAAAATTTGAACAAGGACTTCAGTCGACCAGTTTTAACACAAATACAAAATGTTTTTACTGTGTAAAGAGAAGTCACATCATTTCAGTTAGGATGATCTTCTCAGATCCAATAACAACATAGTAAAACCTAATTTGATAGGTTAATACTCGTTGCAGAATCTATCTTTAAATAGCTTGGACTCTAACAAAATGTGTATGTGTGTGTGTGTGTGTGTGTGTGTGTGTGTGTGTGTGCTCGCAGATGATTTTAATAAAAGAATATTCTGAATATTCCTATAAAAAATATGAAATGAAAGAAATAAGAATATATTATTTGACTAAATACATGCTATTGCATATTTAAATAAAATACGAGTCTTATATATGTTTGCCTCAGCAAAATCTGCCTTTGGCATAAAATTTCTTTTCTTTTTATTATTGTCAAAACAGATAATATAAAATGTAAATATAAGGAATAGGATATCAAGATCTAAGCTATTATTTCGCGCTTTCTATGTTCTCTTTATTCATGTTTCATTATCTCTCGTAATGTATAGAATTTTATGTTTATAAAATGAATTACATATTTGCGAGCTGAAAATTCGCTTCCTTTATCACTCTCGTTTCAATCGGGAATCGATATAAAGCAACGCCGACAACCGAATCGCCTCTGGCTGGTAAATCAACGACTCGTTAAATGCCGATGGCTCTTCGCTCGCTGATAATGCGATTTTGATAATTGGTAAAGCAATTGATAACGATAGCTGACTCGCTTAAACCGTCCTCATTTGGATAACGCAGAATAATAGATATGTTTTGCGGTGTCGATTTGGCCGAGAACCTGTTTGCAAAATGTCTAAATTTCATTGGACTATTCTCGATTGGACCGGTCAGGTCTAAAAAAGTTTTAATAATGAATGAGGTCAAATTCTTATTGTAGGAACAAATTGGTTTGGATTTAAAAACTAAAGGGAGCAGTAGAACGAAGCCAATCCCTTTACTTTGACGTGATGACAAATTAAACTGAGAATTCCTAGCATATATATATATATATTTCTCATATTTCTTCGCGTTTCTTTGTTAATAGGTTATTTTTTTACGTAATTTTAACAAACAACATCGACAATAAAAAAATATTACAATCGTGAAACTGATAGCGTTTTAAAAATATTATTCGCATATTTTTTCGTCATATTTAAAATCAATATAAACGATATATTATTATATTAATACAAGCATCTCCTTTATTGAACGTTTCAAGAATATTATTCATATATTGTTGTCACGTTTACAATGGAAACGAAATATTAGATAAATACAGGCATTCCTTTATTGAGTTATTTATTAAAAAACCACAGATATTGTAACTGAGAATGTTTAAAAATGCAATTCAAACTATTGTTTCATCAATACTGTCGATATATTTAGACGCTAGTATATTTTTGTATTTAACTAATTTGTAGCTCTTTGATTAAATTTAATCAAAATTAAATTTAAATTAGTATGTATTATTAAGTAACGCTTGACAACACGATCAGCATTTCAAAGCACGAATACAGACGATCTTTCATCGGATAAATAAAATCAATTATTGTACGTTATCTGTATTATCGCGATCACATACACTTTTGATACTCTCCTGCTTTCCTAGCATTGACGCACGTAGATAAAAGCATGAAATTAATCTCCGTTTTATGTGTACAATTACGATTGTTATCTGCACAGTGGTTTGTTTGCCGATGGTAACAATGGCATTCGTATTTACGTCATTGCGAGGAATTCGCGAGACTGAAGACTTGGACATGATAACAATTCCACATCAAAAGTCTGAGAGATAGGCTATTTAAACAAAATACGAGTCTTATTATATGTAGGTACAGTTTTTATCTAAACGAAATCTCTTCTTTAGCCTGAGGAATTTCTTTTCTTCTTTAATAAGTTTATCTAGACTATTTTATGAATAAATCAAACAATTAAGGAAATTGACCTATAAACGATATAAAGAACTGTGAAAGACGTATATTATAAAATGTATATAAAAATTTTATCAAGCATTAAGATCTACTTGCTACCTTTTTTCTTAATTGTTTGAATATTCTTTTCCCTTTATCCATTCTTTAAAATAGCAGATAATGTAAAATATATAAATGTAAGAATATCAGAGTTTAAGCTATATAATATTTCGCGATTCATGTAATTCTACGTTCTTTATTATTCTTTTCACTATTTTCAATCAGCTGTTTTATGAATCAATGCAAAGAAATCAATGCCCGTATAATAAATTGTACAATAAATGAAACAATTTGAATAGTATTTGAATAATACTTGAGCAGCATTTAATACACTGAATAAGAATATTAAGTAAAAAAGTCCAAATTTCTTGTATTAAAGCAGACAGAAAAATATAATTTGTATGGATGTGTGTATGTAGACGTCATGAATAAATTAAAACTGGCGTGTTTGTCAAAAATTAAAATAGAAATTCTTTATTTAGAAAAAAATATTGTGAAAAGTCAACAACAGATGTACGAACTATTCAAACATACCGCTTGGAATCGAGAGGGACGTGTCACTTACGAAGGATTTAATTATAAATCAGTTATTTTGGCATGAGAGAGACTAAGAAAAACAGAAGAAGAGAGAAACTGAAACAATCGCATCCGTAGCGCTCACGAGTAAAACGGCAATTTTGCAATGCAATAAAAGGTTTTATCATGTGACGAATGTTGTTGTATAACACAAGTGCCACTTTGACAAATGTTAGGCACAATAGGAACGACCGAAAGGTTTCCACTCGAGGAGGCTATACCATTCACGTTTACGTTCAACTTCCAGTGGGAATCAGACTTTACGAAGGTTTCGACACTAACTGTGAAGCTTTATAAAAAAAACCAAGGATAGACAATTAATATACAATATGTTAGACGACTACTGGACAGCTTTTACGCTTTGGGAGATGACTGAAAAGTACAAAATCCGACATATCGAAAATCTGAGAGGAAGGGGAAATGTACTTTTAACATGGCTTGCACAGGGAGGAGCATTCTTTTAAATTTTGATAAGGAGAACCAATTAAATTATGAAAATCATTTTTACAATGAAAAGTTAAATACTCATTGCTCAATTTGTGGCACGTGTTATTCGTAAGAAATTCGATTAAAATTTCTCATTGAGTTTATAATAGAAATTTAATATTAGCATATTAACATATTTGTCAGAAAGTTAACTATTTTAATACATTTTGTACAAAAATAAATTTTTTCTCTTTTTATCGAAATTCCGGGTATACCCATAACTTTTAATATTATTATAATAAAATGTGCTTATTTCTAATTCATATCTATAAAAGATTTGTTATATAAATATTTGCGACATTTTCATTCAGATCTTTTCATTTCTATTAAATTATTAAAAGAAACCATCTCTTAGAACCACGTGTTAGCAAAAAATTAATGAAGAAAGAAAGAAATCGAAAAAAGTTAGTACAAAAGCAGTAGAAGAAAACGGGATATTAACGGACCGTTGCATTAATGAACAGACAGTAGAATAAAAAAATATTAGATTACGCTGAAAGACACAAAGATTTGTCTTGTATAAGCTCTTCGCTTATACAATATATAATACGTTCATTAATTAAAACACGAACATTTGAGTGGTACTTGAATGGAGTTTATTCGATTTACAATGATATGCGCTGAATGTTCGCAGTTTATTTCTACGGCGAAGGTATATAATGATTGAAAGTTATTTTAATTTGCGCAGGGAAGGATGCGCGTAACCTCGTTAATATGGTCATGATACAGTGATGCTTTCGCGCTAATTACCAGCCTGGTTTAAGTCAGTCGTAAATCTGTTTTTTGGAAAATTAATTTACACTCATGAAGGAAGGAGAGAAAAAGGGCTATACAAATGTTTTATCCGAGAGCATATCGTACGAGATTGTGATGCTGATACAAGCAGATATTCGAACGTACCTTGTGTGTTCTTACTAAGCTTTGCGATTTTTACTAATTTTTTATTGAGTCTAAAGTTAAAGATTAACAGTTAAATTCAAAAGACAGAACATTTCTGAATGTTAATAAAAAACATAAGACGTAATCAAATATTTATATAAGTGCATGAGTATAAAGATTTAAAAAAGTAGCGTTTCACGCATACTAAGTATATATACACCCAATATGATCTAAGTATATGTTTTCCTCTTTTTCGTAAAAATATGTTACAAAAATAGAAAATAAAGTGATACGTGCAATGCTACTTTTATACAAATAAAATTATAAGATTATATTATTATTAACATATTGATATGTTTATTGACAGATAAGAATACACGAAGAAGTATTACAAAAAAACTATTTTTTGCAGACAATGATCTTATCTTTACACAACACACACACACACACACACACTTATCTATTAATTTATTTATTTTCACGATGTTTCACTTACACTCCGTATTTCTAGTTTGATAGGATTATATTACGAGTAATTCTACTTTTTTTTTTCATTATGAACATAACATTGTGACGAAAATATTAACACATTGAGTGCCGACTAATTTTTATAGATGTACCAGAAGCCAAAGCTTGAAACTATCCAATGTTTGGAAATTATTATTTTTTATGCAATTTGAGAATCTTGGTTAGTTATTTTATAGTATGAACAATAATGACGATTAAGTCGTCAATGAGAGTTCAGCGTGGTTGATAGTATGCAAGTAAAAATATTATGAAATTTTTTTACTCGAAACTCTTTATTTCATTAAATTGTACGTTTCGACTCACTTCGAAGTCCTCTTCAGCAATTGTATATGTTTCTCCTTTATGAGTAAAAGATGAATCGACAGTAAATTAACAGATTTGATGTAGTGAAATCTGTCAATTTGCTGTCGATTCATCTTTTACTCATAAAGGAGAAATATATACAATTACTGAAGAGGACTTCGAAGTGAGTCGAAACGTACAATTTAATGGAATAAAGAGTTTTGAGTAAAAAAAATTTCATAATATTTTTACTTGCATACTATCAACCACGCTGAACGAAACGTACAATTTAATGGAATAAAGGATTTTAAGTAAAAAAATTTTATAATATTTTTACTTACTATCAACTACGCTAAACTCTCATTGCCCGGCTTAAGTCATTATTGTTCTTAATTTTGAAGAGTCCGCACTTTTTTATGGTTTCATTTTAGTATATTATACTGGAAATCACGGAAATCTGTGACACACAGTCAATGTCACATGTGTCGCCGACGCTCGACACGTTAACTAAATATATGTATAATGTAAAACATAAATAAAGAGCTACAATAACATAAACTATTAAAATTAATAACCATCTTTTGGTAGTTTTATAAAAAATTATATTTACTTACGAACTATTACATCACATTTCGCATTTTGCTTTACTGATGACGATAACAGAATGAACAAATTGAGCAATAAATCGATGCAATTTAGTCAGATAGATAATCTACACGAGCTACTACTGCTATCTATAGAACTAATCGCGTAATTACAAACAGCGAACAGGGCGTTTTGAGTACACACCCATATTAGATCTGGTTATATCTTACATTAAAGTAATTGAAAATATGAAAAGAATAAGAGAATTAAAGCAAAAAATGAGAATCATGTCTCAAATTTTGCGAGAAAAAAAAACTAAACTTTAAAGAGTGATGACATTCTTATAATTTTCTTGCCCATTACGTAAAATATATTTAACCCTTTTCGTTTTTTTGCATATTTTTACTGTTTTCGTCTAGTTCAAGTTCTTTTTACTATTCTAAGTTTTCAGAAAATGTGAAAAAAATTCAAGATTACTTTTCAATATCTCTATTATAATATCAAATAGTTAGTAGTTTATTGTAGACTCAAAGTTTTTAATAAGATATTTTAGAAGGACGAATCAGACTCCGCGTCCTCCTTTATGTTAAATAAACTTGAATAGAAATTTTGCTGTTGGAATTGTGCCAAAAAAGACCTTTAAATTACAGCTGGAGAGTTAATCAAATATATATTCATATAAAAATTATTCTTAAAACTGTTCAATAATGAAAATTAAAATTCTTTATTAAAATTATTTTTCTTTTACGTTTTACAGATCCTTTCGAACATTTTCAGTTTGGCTCATTGAAAATTTAATGGAATATGTATATAGGAATACACTAACATAAGTCAAGGGAAGGTCAAAATGACTTTATTTATGTACGTTTATTTCTGTATGACATCATAAAAGTCAAAATGATGACTTCTTTTCATACAAAATTTAACTCTTTATTGACGTTAAAAATTAAAATAAAGTTATTTTGATTTTTTATTAATTTTTATGTATTCCTTAAGTTGGAATGAAAACTCGCTCTAAAGAGTAAAAATTGAATCAATCTTGAAAAAGAGCTTAATTTTTAATTTTTTTTTTTTAAGAGTAAAATCTTCAGAGTAAAAGATTTTAGAAAGTAACATAAAAATAATTTATTAATTAATCCATAACGTTAATTAATTGTTCTAGGTCTTCCCAATGAACTAAGTGTATTTTGGCAGCAGTATCCGTGGGCCCTTGGCACGGGATTATGCAAAATCCGGGCGTATGTGTCAGAAATGTAAGAAATAGCACGTCTGGTTTTTTGTATCCCACAAAGAAATCTGACACTCTTCTCTAAATCTGGGCATCGATTTCCACAGGTCGTCCTACGTATCGGTTCTTACGATTGTGGCTTTCTCTATGGAAAGGTATTTGGCCATCTGCCATCCATTGCACGTCTATTCAATGAGTGGTCTCAAAAGACCAACACGTTTCATCCTTGCAGCCTGGTTGATTGCAATTGTCTCGGCCATACCGTTCGCAATTTATACCAAGGTCAATTTCGTCGAATATCCGCCAGGTTAAGCCGACATACTAATTCCTTGCAATTATCGTAAATCAATATTCGATAATTAATTGTTCAAATCTTTTGTAATCTCAAGTCTTAAACTTTTATTAAAAGTTTGTCATTGCATCGGTCGTTTAATTTCCTCCTCAGAATTTTCTCTTGTATGCAACAAGTGCGAAATATATAAAATTTAATTCCGAATATCTAATTATTTTAATTATTTAAACTGCAGTTTTAGTACACAAATTTATTTAAAATAACTATGATCTACGTTAAAATGTCAAGTTCTCTTTTCAGGATCAGGAAATTACTCAGCTGATTCGGCGATTTGCGCGATGCTTCTGCCTGACATGCCAAAATTTCCCCTTTATGAGCTCAGTTGCATCGTATTTTTTCTAATACCGATGCTTATGATCCTTGTAGTGTATACGAGAATGGGATTAAAAATTAAAAGCAGTACCAAAGAAATACTTGGCCCGATACAAGCCTCCGTTCATGGCGATCATCGACAGATTCAATCCAGAAAATCTGTCATCAGGATGTTAAGTATGATAATCATAGCCTTTATTCTCTTTAATTATAACCATAGTTTTATTTTTTTCTTCTAATGATATAATTGTAGCGATAATTAAAAAATTGGCGAGTAGTTGAATAATAAATATAATTACATTAATTGTAGTCTAATTTTTGTTAACGGTAATTCGGTTAATATTATACTCCTTTTGTTTCTTATTTTTGATATTAACAATTTCAATAAACAATGTAAAAAAAGATTTAGGTTCTAACAAGATAAATCAATAATTAATAAATATTTTAGAGAAATGTCTCTAAAGCATTTATTAATTAACAATCTTAATAATTAAGAGACATTAATAATTAAACTTTAAAAGTTTTTTAAGATTCCTGACGTAATTTCTTTCAGGCGCGGTCGTTATCATGTTTTTCCTTTGCTGGGCTCCGTTCCACGCCCAACGTTTACTTTACATCTATGCACAGGATTCCGATTATTACCCAGATTTAAACGAATGGCTCTATATTCTGAGCGGCTGTCTATATTACTTCAGCACTACTGTCAATCCGATTCTCTATAATTTGATGAGCATCAAATACCGTCATGCATTCAAACGAACAATAGGCTGCAGAATGAGAAGGCCGACGAGCAAAATTATGATAGTTAAGAAATCTCATCCGCACAGATGTGATTCCTTGAGCGAACCTCATGACCGAAATGTTGCATGCTCTGTTAGGTACGTATGGTAGTTTGAAAAGTATAAAAAATGTTATATCAGATAAATATATAATTTTAATATTGTATAATAATTTTATATTCTATAAAACATGTTTGTCGAAACATGATTCTTTTTTTATAATCTAATATACGATATATTGCATTACAGTAATTTCACATTTTTTTCTTTAGGCATACGATTGCTCAAGTCAAAAATATATTTTGTTTTACGTCGACCCAACGAGAAAGTATCAAAGATAGCAATAGAAATAATGGAAATGCAAGCAATTTTCCTCAAAATGCTTACGCGTTACAAAAGAAGAATTCATCCTCGTCGTTTCTCTTTGAACGAGGACATCTTCTCGCTCATCAGCAGCCTAGCATCGAAAGCACGACATCCACAAAAAGATCGGAAGACAGTGTTTCCGTAGCTAAAAGCAGTCTGTGATCTATTTCCATTCGCTTTTATTTAGATATGCATTTATAATGCGCGTCGCTGTAAATAAAACTAGACATATTCGAATGATCGATTATTATAAATGCGTCTGAAAGGTTTTAAACTATATTGTAAATAAGTAAAATAAGATAGATAACCTGAATTATTTTTTATTAATTATAATAACGCGCCAAAATTTATTTTATACTATTTATTTCAGAATAAATTTTACACATATTATACCTGATATTTATTTTACGCATTCGTGATATTTTGCAGTTTTAAAAGGCAAAGGTTTGAAATCCTGACATGAGAGTAATGCTTTTCGTCAAAATGCTAATATTTTCCATAGGAATCATAAAATACGCTTTACGTCAACAAGCTGTACTTTAATAAAGATATATTTGCTGCAATAAATCGTTCAAGTAAGTTTTTAATAATAAAATCATTTCCAAAGCTTCAGCTTATTTTAACAGCGGTATTATCAGTCAAGTTCCTAATTAGTTAATTATCAATATGTAAAATACACGTTTTTGCTCAAATAAAACGTTACTTTTTATTTGCAATTATTATCCTTCAATATAAAGTAATAATTCCCCGTATATAAACTTTTATATACGGAGAATTTTATTTATTCTTATTGGACCGCTAAACTTTAAACCAAATGATACAATACCACAGCGGTGTAAGCTGGATCACGGGTGCTTCTAAATAATTGTGTGTGAATTTACATACTGTATGTAATTAATTTTCACTGCAAAAAATTAATTATTTACAGTTTTTAATAGGTTATTTAACATTAATAGAATCGATATAAGATGCATAAACAGCATCAATAATTGTTAAATTGTTAGACAATTTAACTCGTGATATTACTGCGGTACTTTATTAGTGTTGCGTTTCAAATCTGAAAAAATTTTGGCGCGCGATCGAAGAATTTATACATTGCAGTATATAAATTCACATATAATTATTTAAAAGCACCCGTGATCCAGCTTACAATTAGATCGCTGTGGCATTGTCTCATTCGGTTTCATATATATTTTTCAATTTACAATACTTTACTTAATTGTTCAAGTTTTACATAGTAGACAAACGTATTCAAGCAGTGACAATAATTTTCCTGCACTATATTCAAATGACGTAACCCACGCATTTATTTCGATTTAAACGAGATACGTATTGTACTTATAACGTATACTCCTCTTTGTTTCTCGACACCAACTTCAAGAACTAAAAGAATATTTAGTACCGTGTAATTATTTATTTAACGTCCGTAACTTTAAAGTCGTGTAGATAAGAAGGCTATAAAAGTAAAAGATGACTTTTTGATAAATAAAGTAATTTAAGTGAGAAACCAATATAATCTATACATTCATTTTATCCATGTTCAAAAGATAGTTCCCGTCTCAAAGGTAATTCATGCAGAAATTCTTAATGGCAAAAGATTGTTCGCAGAATTAAATTTCCAGAATCACTTGACATTCCCGCATTGATTTTATGGAATTTGATTTAAGTAGATTCTTTAGAATTTTAATTTGATTTTAGAACTTATTTTATTTGTTTGGTACCTATACTGAATTAAAAAAGTAAGTTTTAAATAATTCGGTAATGCATAAAATCGCGATCAAAATTTTCCTTCAAAATTAAAATTAGATTCGATTTTAAGAAAAATATGTTAACATCACACTTATAAAATAGTAATTTTAGCATATCATTATGAAATAGACTTTATTTTTGTTACTGCACTGAGTTTCTATGAAGGTTAATTTCTACATTGAAGTCGGAAAGAGTTGAATCGATCGATTTTCTGTATTTAGCAAAACCTTCAACGAACCTTTAATGAATCTCCATTTACTACAATCATCGACTATATTTTACACCGTTAATTACAGTTAGGTGTATAAACCGTAGGGAATTAAGTCTGGTTCTATTTCGAGTAACAAATCACTAACGCGTTAATTACAAATACGAGTAAATTAACAAAATTAAAGAACTCTTAATGTTAAATAATAATATAAAGAAAGTGAAATTTAAGAGTCAATTTTAAAATCTTAATCTTAAAAACTTAACTTAACGCGTGAAAAACAAAACATTTACATTAATTAAGTTCATAAATACATATTTCGGCTTTTTGATTGAGCCATCTTCAAATATTCAAATAGATGCAGTAATGATACTTAGATAAATCAAAAATAACGCAGAGGAAAACGTTAAGTATATAATAACTTATATACTTATCTAACGATAAGTCCTGATGAATAATATGTAGAGAGACAGAAATTGCTCGCAAGCGGTGGAAGACTGATTGTTGGAAATTTCCGGAAGTTCCAAATGGCCTCATACAGCGCGAAAGATAATTGTATGACTATTTTAAACATCCGGAAATTTCCAACAATCAGTCTTCCACCGCTTGCAAGCAATTTCTGTCTCTCTACATATTATTCTTCAAGCCTTATCTAACTCATATACTTAAGGTTTTACTCGTGTGTTATTTTTAATTCATCTAACACACACACACACACACACACACATAAGTATCGTTACGGGGTCTATTTAAATATCTACAGATAGCTCAATCGAAAAGCCGAAATGTAATATATTTTACTGAATTTATAGTTTATATTTAATTTAGAAATATATAATATATTAAACATTTTATTTTTCACATGTTAAGTTTTTAAATTTAACTCTTACATACCCTTCACTTTCTTTATATTATTAATTATAAATAAGGTATGCACGTAGCATTTCGCTCTTTATATTATATATAACATTGATTGATATAAATCAATTTTTTATGCTATATCAAGAACTTAATTGGATGTAGAATCTTTTTAAACTATCAATTTTAAATATGCAATAATCTTTATTTTAGATATAGACAAGAAATCTTAAATTAAATTTTTGCAAAATTAAAACTTTTATAACGTTATTTTTGCCAGTGTTTCCATGGCTGTTGGAAAAAGCACACACACACACACACACACACACACACACACACACACACACACACACACACACACACACACACACACACACACACACACACACACACACACACATATACACGTGGGAGTTTTCTTATTAAATTTCATGAAGAGAGATGCTAAAAGTACATATTTTAGTACTAGCGTGCCAAGAGCTTCCTCATATCATGAAAACTAAAATAATTTAGACAACGTGATTTTAAATAAAATAAATAATTAAATTATGTGTCATAAAAATGGTGAAATATTTTCACATTAAATTACGAAAGTTCGAAAGAAAATGTATCAAATCTGGGAAAAGAACTTTTCAACAAAGGACAAAGCACACGTTGTGATGTTACATTATTTTTCATACTAGTAAATAATTTATAACATCTTTGTACTCTAATGTATCTTCGGTGTCTCTTTACGAAATGTAATAAGACAACTCTCATATGCCCTTTTCCAACAGCTCAGCTGGAAAAAATAGTATTATAAGTTTGAAACTTTAATTTTGTAAAAGATTAATTTAAGATTTCTTATAGGTATATTCTTTTTAAATTAAGAAAATTATTATATTATTAAAATATCTTTAAATTTTCGCTTCCTAAAGAATTGTGCCAGAAGAAAAAATTCGCGGAAAATTCACGTTTTTTTATTCTAAGCAAATTTTTCAAATACTCGTAACTACAAGATTTAATTTTCATTGAGCTATCAAATATAATGATAAAAATGTCAAATTTTATATATAATTGTTATCGATCATATTGTGAAATGATGCAAACACAAGATTTGCATCAGCGAATTGAGATGAAGATCTTACTCTTCGCCATGTTTCCATGTATCATTCAAATGTAAAATAAGTGTCTTACGTATAAATTCTCACAAAGGAAGTTTCGCTGAATTGGCAAAGTTTCAAAAGTGCTGTCGTAGATACTACGACCGAGGAACACGTTAACGTTTCATAAACGTTGATCGATAAAGATTTATTCCAAATCGTGTTGACTGAAAGTTCAACTAGAATAGTTACAAACAAGTTCTGTATGTTCGTACGCTTTCATTGAGCCTAGCATATTACGCAAATTCGACTGAATGCAAACTTAAATTAAATTTGTTATGAACTATTTTACATGAATTAAGAAATTTGGAGATTTTACTATGAAAAATTAGAAGTGCCTCAGAAATAATAGAGAACATGCAAAGCGCTGTTAATACAATATTTACGTATTTACATATTTAACATTTACATATTTTGATGAAAGCCTCAAAGCTCATTTATTCTATACGATTATCGGATGTTTGGATCGTTTCCTAAAATGGGATTGTCATATTTTGATGCAGCATTGCAAGAGGTGGCGGCGGTTCCCTCAAAAAGGTATTTCAAGAAAATCCTATTTAGGCAAACAGAGGCCAATTTAAGAAAATTTCTCATCTACATACTTTTCCGCTCCGAAAATATAAACAACAAAAGCGTAAGTATTCAAAGAAATAAGTTTCACATATATTCTAAAAATATTCTAAAAGAATTTTTTTCTCTTATTTGAAGAAGATTCAATTTTACGAATTATATTTTTGAATTATTTTATAACTTGTATTAAACTATTATTAATAATTTATTTCTTATAATTAATAAACGGAAAGAAACAGAGGGATTAAAGAAAATTTAAAACATTTTCTAAAAGACTATTTTGAATTCTAAGTTTATTTTTTAGATTCGTGACAATTATCTTTTGACAAATTCTAAAAGTTATTATATATATATTTGCAAAAGAATCGATTATAATAAAATGATGTATACTCTTAAAATAAACCATTTTAATTTTATCATAAATTATTATAATCGTACTATAATCATAATCGCAAATTATGATATTAGTTAAACAAATAATAATTTCTTAGAATATATTTTTATACTTTCTTAGTATCAGTAATAATAAGAATAATTCAATTTTTTTAAATTCATTTTTTTGTACATATTAAAATAAAATGAAGTAAATATAAAGAAAATTAAAAGAAAATCTATACACCCGTTGTATTTTACAATATTGAAATTTATATCCTCTCTTTCTGAATACGAAAGACATAGCTAATAAGAACAGACATTTAAAAATGTACAATACATTTTTCATAATTTTCGCAGGAGTTTGTTGTTTTTCATTTCGTTGTACGCGCGACAGATTTCAGAATGTTACAATGTTCATACAACGTGATAAATTTCTCTCGTGCAAAAATGTAACCTACGTTTGCAACATTCGTAACAAATGTCTTCCAAACCACAATTTTCCGATCGCGCGTGCCGAAACGTTGCGCAAATAATTTCGGCCAGTGCGATGAAATGATAGATTTGACTTTTGTAAAATTTCTCGTCTGTCTGAAAGAACTGATTGTTCTTATTATAGCGCAACTCCTTGAAACGACTGTGAAATGCGTGCTGCCGGCGGTAATCGCGCAACTAACGGGACCGAGATATTTACGATGGGTAAAGCCTCGATGATTTGTAGCGAAACAAGACTGCGACCTGTTTGATCGATCCCGCTTTCTCCTTTCAGACGCGAAATGTTCTTTAGTCTCGCTATCTTATTTTGTGCGAAATTCTCTATATGCATGGCATGAATAAGGACAAAAATGAAGAAACGTTAACTCCGACACTTTCGTTATCATTGTCGTGGTAAGCATTAATTAAACAAAAAAAGGTAAAAGGATGGCAGGAAACGCCTGACGAAGAGATGCTATAATCGCTCGTAATATATTTCAGTATATTTAACGATTCCCGTTTTTGCCCGCATTCATCTTGTGTGTTATACGCGTGAACATATATTACACCATATTAATGTAACCATTAAGAAAATTATGGATCCAATAGATCAAGTTATCGCTGATAGCAGTTAATGGTACGTCAACCTGTATAAAATAAAGTAGATCGATGAGAAACATCTCGTCTATCGATAATATAATCTTGTATTGAAAAACAGAATTTTACATGCAGGTGCGCCACTATAAATTATCTACTCAAAATTGAAATTCTATACCGCTTTAAACACATCCAAAAGGCAATATTGAAACATTAACGGGCATAAATTATTTTGCAAATTTACAACATATATGGTATTATATATTCCAGACTTACCATGATAACCGTTAATAATAGATTCCTCCCAAAGAAAATTTTACATTGTGTAATCAGTTCAAAATTTTGATTAATTCGTAATAATTGCCATCACTGCAGTATCTTTTTAATCAGTTAATTTTGAGCTTATCTCAATTAAAACCTACAGTAGCTTCAATATTTTGGTATAAGAATTTTCATCTTAAAATGATTCTAGTCTAAGAATCAGAAAATACATCAAAATAGTATCATATATTGACTTAATAATGTGACAAAAAATGGCATAAATTTGATTAATAATCGATCAATATGACATTAACATTTTATAGTGAACTATAAGTATAATATAATTATAATTATGAAATATTAAAAAAATACATATTAAAGAAAATATTTTAATAAGATTTTTTCTGGTGCTATTGAAATTGAAGGAATATAGTGTCTGTATCATTACATTTATGATACACACTTTTTCTTGAAATTGTTTATCGCGCTTCATATAAAATTAGAAAATCCGACACAAGCAAGCGGTAAAAGGGGAAATAATGGGCATGAATTACGAAATCTAGTCAAAAATTGAAAGTAAATTCCAGCGCTGTTCTACGTATTCTATTAAACACTTTCATTACTGTGCAATGTGCTATGCTTAAGTGAACAAATTTCAAAAGTTTTAGTTAACTTCAAATCGCTCTCATTTAAAAATTACTATTAGCTTCAATATTTTGGCATTAGAATTTTTATCCCAAAATAATCTCAAGAATCTATCATTAATGGTTGTCACCGTATCAGGAACACCCTGTATATGATATTCGATTTGTATAGATAACATTAAATTTTATCGATCGTAAGGTTACCGCACATAAAATGACACAGCTGCATATGAAGGTCGTCTGGACCAATGAGCATCCAGCATAAAGTTGCTATATTGATTTGCATAACATATTATGTAAGTACTCATTGGTTCAGACAGTCTCATGCTATGCAGACGAAGCTATGTTACTTTGTACGCGATAGCTTTTAGAATGTATCGCAAAATATATAAGGAAAACGCCGCACTGCAGATGCATTATTAACATATAAATAAAAAACTGAATAAATGCGTAGTATAAAGCCGCTTTCATTCTTAAATAATTCTTCGTAAAGGACTTATTAAAAAGTTTTCATATTTCTCTACCTTTCTTTTTACATGGCGATTTAGTTTTCATAGCAGGATAATATCCGTTTTGCACATTAAATCGGACTCTTCTTTTTTAAATTTCTTTTAAATTTAATATTAACCTGCGTGATAATTATTTAATAATAAATAAAAGTTATACCTTTTTGACATTAAAACGTTTATGAACGAAGTGTCATGACATCGCAATATAATTGTATAGTAAGTAATGAAAAAACCTTATCGGACTGAGTAAAGGCCTCCCTAGAAGGTCAGTAATACTCAGTCAATATTACTGATCAGTATTACTGACAGTATGCATTAGGTTTTACAACCTTATACGATCAGTATTATTGACAATATTTCACTTCAGTTTGACGTGGTTTGGCGTACATTATTATCTATGGCGACATGGATCTTAGGGAAAAAGCATGTATTCAAATCCACACACACAAATCATCGTCAGTATTCCACGTCAATCCATCAATATTAACCACACACGATCAATAATACTGTCAGTATTCGTTAATACTGACAGTATATTATTGACCACATACAGAGACCTTAAGATCTTAATGCTTAAATAATGCTTAAATTTTGATGTGAATTTATATATATATATCTAATATTCATACAACACTACGCACCAAAATCATTTTCAATCTTTAATCTTTAAAGTTTAAACGCAATTTTAAACCAAACTGGTGTATAATATCACAAATTAATTTATGCAATGACAATTAAATATGGTAAACCTCATAAAACATTTACGGATAATTGAAAATATTATTTTGGTCATTTTGTAAGTGATATCTGTAAATATATACGTTACTTAAAATTTTCAAAAATTTTTGCTTTTAAAATGAGATAAATATATGTATGTACGAGTTTTGAAAAGAAAGTGACGGTACTAAATGTAAAAGTGAACAGTCCATGCATTAAAACACTATTTTTCACTGGTTCAGTAGTTTTTACAGAGTGCAATATTTCCGTTATATTTTGACGATATCATATTCACATGTTGCGTGTCTGTTATCTCTTTTTACCTCCCTATCTTGTCTGAAAATCGATGATCTGATTTATTTGTTTCACCAGTCAAAGTATGATATAGCAATAAAGTGCGATATAGCAATAAAATGTTATTGATCTTTTGCAGTTTGCGTTTTATTTTTACTTACTCGGCACGATATTTCTGCTGCTGGACTCGTATGCCGAAGCAACGAAATTGCCTCCTGAGAGATATACGTATAGCGTTTGCCATTACCATCAAGTGTATTTACCGGAGGAAGCGATGGCATTGCAGACACGCGACAGAGGAATGTTCTATCTCTTGGAAGGCGTCGCAACACATCGCCGGAAGAACGTGATTCATTTCATAGTTGACAAATAACTCGGCAATAGTAATAGAAAAGTAACGATAGCCTTACTAATAGTTACTTTTTTACTTCGGTATTTTACGTAACGATCGCACTATCAACACCGATCATTGTATGCTTTCAGACTAAAAGCTCCTAAATAAACAAATAAGAAGAATAGCCTACAACGGTCAAACCTGGATCATAGTGCTTATTATATAGTTATGTGTGATTTTTATATACTGCGTATGTAGTGCCCCCCAATAATCGCGCGCTGATATACTATTCAGATATAACGCAAACATACTTATCTCAGTATTATCACGAATTAAAATTGAATAACAATTTTAATACTCATAACATCATGGATCTCAATAATATTTTGAATGACATATTAAAATCTAAAGATGATAAATTATTTTTCTATATATTGAATATTATGAAGAATATCACGTAATTTTTGGCGTTTCGTCCCGGCTTCCACTACTGGACTCATCAGTAAGGTAATGTAGTGGAGACCTACCTCAAACGCCTTGGATGAAATATTAAATAGATTCTATATAAAGAGATATACGCATATCTCAATACTTACGAGAATTTGCGAATATCGATAGACCTCTGATGGCGGATCGACGCAGTAATATTCTTCGTAATATTTTTATTTGAAGTTGGAATAACGTCTCTTCGGCTTGACGTATAATTAATATATATTAAATTCTATTACGACTGTATATTGATAAACAAATAAGAAGAACAGCCTGTAACGATCAAACCTGGATTATAGTGCTCCTAAATAAAGTTTAACATTTTCCGACTGATGTCAAAAAAATTAGAACATTCTGCATGTTGAGGAGATTTTTATTATTAATAGAAACGACTTCTTGGCATAAAATATTTAGATATTATAGCAGAGATTCCAAACACGTGCGATGGAATTTATAAAGCGATCTTCTGATATTAATGTACGATTCGATTAAAGATGAACTATTATTGAACTAGTTTCTTTTATTCAATTTCTACTAAACTTAAGATTCTTAAAATCGTGTTACAAGAAAAAATCTTTGTATATGTCTATCCTATTTTAATTATATACATAAAAATTAAGATTTATATCTAAGAGTAAAAGTTATGTATTAGAAGATCCAAAAACAAGATGTAAAAATATCAATTAACTATCTTTATTGATGCAATATTAAGTTTTCCAGTTTCCTGTTTATAATTCTTATAAATTCCACAAAATTGATTTTAAACGTTTTGTTTAAAATCTATAATTTTACAATTTAGAGGTTTTATGGTTTTATAATTTTGCTTAAAAGAATTATAACTTGCAGCAATATGTAGCAGATGGAGAATGATTCATGGTTTACCGACAATCTTATGGAAGTTCTTGAAGTGTGTAATGTTTGCGGACAACATACAATTGAAGAAGAGATCTACTCGAATGCACTGAGCGATAAAAAGACGAATGGAAAAATCGGTCGTGCGTGTCATACAGGGCTTCTCTGAGGATGCGGAATGCCATTTAAACCGACGAGAGACTTTACGGGATTTTTCAAAGGACAAAAGCTGCTACAAATGTATTGTCCGACAAACAAAATCACGACGATCTGTCGCAACCAGCTACTTTGATCGACACGCGGACGATAATTTTAAGCCAGCAGTTGAAACTCACTGAAATCCCCGTGTCGACTTCAACAAGATCACTTCTCGACGCGACAGCAATTGTTGAAACCAACATAATTTCAGTCAGCTTAAAGCTCGATGTCATAAACACACGGAAATCTTTATATAAAGCTGTCACCGCAATAATATTATAACATGCAAAAACAAGAATATAGTACTGCAGTTTTGAATTTATATCAAAATTGTATGTTAAAACCACAAAAAGCGTCACATGAAACTTATTTTCTTATTATCTCCTAATAAATAAAAAGTAAAATTACTAAAAGATGATATAAATCTTTCTCTCAAAATAAATTTTCATTAATATTTGTTGCGACGAGCGTCTCATTTATTAACAGCGATAAAAGAGTAATAATTGAAAGGAGTGGAACACTTTTTGCGTCTGTTGTATGGAAAATTTAATTCAACTGAAACCATTTCGGTTTCATTGCTTTTATCTTTCTAAATGAATGTCTAGCAAATATGATTCGTGTGAATAAAATTTCTTAAAAATAGGTCGCCATAAATAGCGATTAAAAAATAAATTTTTATGCAAACACTAATATATAATAGAGATGCTACTGGTAATTTGATTTTGAAAGCGCTTTATTCTTCGAGTTAATCAAAGTATCTTCATTACGTAATCAATGATATACTACACGCACGAGTGAAAAACAGATGAGTGAATTTATCAAATTAAGTATTCGTGGCGCGTTCGACCGTCATAAATATTGGCACATAAATTAATATTTCCGCACATAACTTACTCCTCTCATCCATGCCCGACTACGTTTCGCGAATTCGCGATGTGTCAATTGGAAATTCATTTAGGAGATCGAGATTTAACGTAGATTTGCCAAGTTTTGTAAACTTACTTAATCTTAGAATGCATAATCTACGAGTCCTGTAAATATATATCCGTTATTGTGAAAAATATCTGTACATCTGAGAATTTTGTTACAGCACATAACGTTAAAATCGCGCTACATTTTACTTGATACATAAGAGATCATTAAAAAAAAAAACTGTTATATTACATTTCTTCAACAATTGCTTAAAACGTTGAATAAAACTAAATAATGCACACATATAAGCTTTCTCTCTTCGAGTTTAGAATACCTATTTTTCAAAATCTATTTGACATTCGTAGTCTATATTATATTTTTAGTGACTACGAGAGTTAGTTATTACATACAGGAGAAATAACTCGTGCAAAACATATAAAATATTTCCTCAAAACATTTATTTAGAGACAAAAAATAATATTATTTTACAAAATAAAGTTCTATTCATTTCAGGAATTTTAAATAGGAATTTTACGTAAAGCAGCATCGAGAATAGCAGAATATATTATTTACTGTCGTCGTTGTACATAAACTTATAATTAAAAAAATAATAAAATAAGAATAAATTAAAAAATAAAAACGAATAAATTAAAAAAACCGAGGTACAGTTTCTTTCAACTCGGTAAAATAACAGAACATTTTAATAACGATACGTAAAATTAGCGTCAAAAGTAATATTTTTAATTGTCAACCTAAAGCGTTAACAATTTCTGATTATAATTGACAAAAAAAATGCATAACTCTCAGTTAGTATTTTTACATCTCTCTCTGTATGTTACAAATACAGCTACAACTTTCTACGAAATGCATTCAGGAAATATCTCATGTCGGAAAATGATTGCGGGTTACATGATAAACATACAACACTTTCCATAATTAACGCGTGCGTTTGATGTATTATCATGAAAAGGAGTTTCTCGTTGCAAGCACGGTTAAGGTGCCTCGAATATCTGAAATAAGTCATGTCTGAAAGCTGTCTCTTAATTCTACCAATATATAGTAAGTTATATAAGATTAACTTTAATCTCTCTTATATGACTTATTAACTAACTGTTTATCTCTTTTTCTCATTCTAGAATTAGAAAAATAAATAGGTTAAATCGCGACATTAATTAATCATACATTGGAGAAATTGAGCGTTTGTCTCTTTTATCTTTCATCAACTTTTGATTAAGGGATAAAACCATTCTAGAGAGAGAGAGAGAGAGAGAGAGAGAGAGAGAGCACGAGAAATAAGTCTAATTTTATAGAGTTTCTTCGGAAATGTAATGAAAAAAATAAAGAAATATATTTTAGGTCTTTGTTGTGCATATATTGAAGTGTAAAAAAAATATTTTTTATAGTGATTTTGTTACATAATGGCGGCGCTACAGCTCTGCAATGGTACCGTCTTCTCTCTCAATGCTCTGCGGCCGGAACAATAACTCCGGCAATTTTTAATCTGGAACAAAAAACCAAAAATTTTTTTAATCTATGTTCCAAAAGCTAGAGAAAGACAGAAATTGCAATATATCGTTTTTTAAAAAAATGGTACGAATTTGAAGTATAAATGTTAAAAAAGGGTAAAAAATTGTTCACGTATATATAAAAAAGTATATATAACAAAAAAATCCGTACTTCTTTCTCTAGAGAATATAATTTTGAAGCTACAATTGAAATTTCAAGTAAATCAGTGAAAATTTGTGGGAGTTATATTTCCGGCCAACTTGAAAAAAGTGATTTCGAGAAAAATACATTTAAAGTTTTATGTAACAATCATAGAAATGTTTACCTTTAATCTGCGATACCTGCATCGTACAATAGACCTTCCTCGTTGATGTTCTTTTCCTCCTGATCCTTCTTGGCTGATTTTAGAGATAATTTTCGAGTCGTACATAACTAATTTCTTTATTATTCTCAGAAGGACTCCTTTGCAAATATATAAATCTTATCGACAAGTACAATGCTTTAAACTTCCAAAAATGACACTTAGGAATTTTTCTTCGCTATATGACCTTTTGTACCTCATTTCTAAGATTTTAAAGCATCATTTAAGCAAAAAAAACGATGAAAATTTTTTTTGAAAATTCTAGAGTGGCTTTACTCCTTAAGGAGGAAAGCCACTGTGAACGGTCGAAAACATAGGGTAACTTAGGGATTTTTTTATAGTTAAATAATAAAGTAAATAGAAAATCGGTTTGAAGGCCTTTAATGTACATATTTAAAAGTATTTTGTTTTATTTTTATTTTATTTTTTTGCGTCAAGATGGTGACGTTGGAGCCCTGCAAATGAGACTGCGTTTTTCTCATAGGCCTCCGGGGCTTGCAGCAGAAGTGCCGTATACTTTCACTAAGGACAAAAAGCAAAATTTTTTCATAATCTACATTAAATTTGCTAGAGAAGTACACACGTATATTTTAAAATATTGATTTTTGTAGAAATGGTGAACATGTAAATACAAAGTTTCATTTTCACTCAAAAAATTCAATAAAAAAATATTAGTAACAAAAAAAGTTTTTAACCGATCGAAAAAATCGTGTGTACTTCTCTAGAGAATTTAGTTTAGCAGCTATTGTAAAAATTTCAAGTTGATCGGATAAAATTTGTCAAAGTTATGCTGCAAGCCAATTAGAAAAACATGGTTTCGAGAAAAACGCGTTTAAAGTTTTGAACAACATTATTTCATATTTAACTATAGAAATTTTTTATCTACCTTTACTCTGCGATATCTGCACCATATGAACTGTTCTTCCATATCGATGTTTTGTTGAATTAAAACTTTCATTATTGTTCTGCGTAAAGCCAACTAAGCAACGATGATTGAGCGCTTAGATGGTGTTACGCCTTGCTTCAAAAAATCAGCT